TTATTGAACGAACCGCAAGGGCGTTCCAGATCGGGCGTCCCCTAGGCCCAGCCCTCAACAAACAGACTGCAAAGACCAGCCCTGCCCCAAAGAGCTTCCACTTGACGTTGAAAACGAGAGGTGGGGCCGTCAGGGAAACACTTCCCAGCCCTCGCTCTGTGCCCCACACTGACCCAGGCCCCCGTATATTTATCCCCAGACTCCCCCGTGAGCCGGGAGGGGTTACCATCCCTGTGCCACCCAGGGGGAATCAGAGGCACAGACAGGCCAAGTGACTATCCGAGGTCACACCGGAAGTCAGTAGCGGAGCAGGGAATTGGCCCTCAGCCCCCTAAGTGTAGGGCTAGTGCTCTAACCACTGGACCAGCCTTCCACTCTTAAGGTCAGCCTCCCCATCACCTGCATGTGAGATGCTGACCACCCCTTTACCCCACAACCCACTTGGCCAAGATGTCAGTTTACCCAGCCTTCTCCCATGCTGCCCCGGGTGCATAGACAGAATCCATGTAATTCTTCACAGGACACAGCCCTGTCCTCCCAGCCCCTCCCTCAAACACTCCCAGGCTCAGGGCCTGCAAAGCACCCCTATGGCACGGACACTAAGCACTGCTCCTCACGCTGACCGGGACCCTCCGGCTAGCTCCTTGGACTCCCTCCCCACACCTGTTGGTTGCACCCGCTTGCTGTCTCATCTCAGACTTGGGTTGCCAGCTCTCTGCGGTAGGGGCCGTCTTCTCAGCGCACGCTCGTAGAACGCCTGCCCCCACAGGGCCCCGATCCTCGGCTGGGCCCCTCCGCTCTGCAGTAACCCAGATAATCAAACCAAACAGCAGACCAAGAGCCCAGGGCTGGGCGCTCCAGCCAGGCCACTGCCAACGAGAAGAACAGCCCCAGGTTTGAAGCGGGGGGGGGGGGGGTCAACCCCTGGAATGTGGTGGATTTGGCAGCTCTTGGGGTCTTCAGATCCAGTTTGGCTGCCTCTCTGGAAGCTGCCTTAGCCCAATCCCAGTTCCTCGCCTCCCTCCAGGGAGGGACGGGTGCAATCGAATGGCCTGTGTCATGCAGGGGTCAGACCGGATTGAGCTAAGTCTCCCTTCCGGCCTTACAACCGATGAATCTCGGCACAATATTAGGAATGGAGAGGAGCAGGATGCCCAGCTCCCTGGGAATCTCCTACCCACATGTCAACCCGCCCTTTGGGGGGTCCCCATCCAGTGCAGGGTGAGTGCACCCCATCCTTTGAGCTGCCCTGTACCTCAGGGCTGCAAGGTCCAGTGCCACCACCTGGGGGTGGGTGGCAGCCAAGGTAGCGGGGCCCAGACCAGGGCCCTGACAACAGTAAGTGAGTTCACCACTGAGTCAGCAGGGATCCAGCCACAACATGCCAACTACACTCAGGACTATGGCTAGTCCCTCCCCTGGGCTACTTCCTACCAGGACTCCTGGGTGTCTTCACGGTCTCCAGCCCATGCTGTTCTCAGTAGCCATGAATCCCCTGGGGCATCAGCAAGTATCAGGGCATCTCCCAGAGTCTCAACACCTCTGGCTTCCACAGCTGGGGGCTGTAGTTGCTTTCAGACTGGAGCTTGCTACGTGCATCCTCCCACTGCAACAATCAGCCCCAGACTGAACTGGGCTGCTCCCTTTTATACTAGCACTGCACTTGGGGCATGCCCAGTAGGGACGTGGGGGCGTGGCTTCCGCAGCCCACAATGAGGAGTTAACTCTGTGCTGTCCCGTGCAGGGTGTGTGCACCCCATCAGAGTCAGGCGAAGTGACTGCAGTCATGTTGCTGGAACATGAATACAGATGGGAGGTGGAGGGTGAGGGCAGATGGGTCCAGTCTGTTCAACACACTGACAAAGGGCCCAGCCCCCTGAGGTGCACAGCCTCACCCTTCGCTCCCAATGGTGCTAACGGGGACCTAGCATCTACCAACTCAGGGCCTGCTCCAGCTCCCGTTAACTGCCAGGAGTGCAGGGTCAGGCCTGTGGGAGATGCTAAATCAGATCCGACCAGAGGTCCAAGTAATTCAAGATCATGGCACAGAGGACAGCACAGAGCAAACCTAATGGGCAATTATGAAATAATCATCCCCTGTGGGAAGTTTCTTCCTCACCCCACCAGTTAGAAGCTGGTTTGTGCCCTGTCGCAGGAAGGTTCATCTACTGAATCAGTGTTCTCACCTCTCCTGCTAGGCTCCTTGTCTCATTGAGAGCCGGGGTGGGGAGTTCCAAAGGATAAACACCTGTTGGGTACCAGACTCTAGATGGGTTTTCAATCTGCTGCCTTCCAGGTCCGGGGGACACCTGCTTGGCCTGGTCTGATGAGACAGCCTGAGCAGCAGCCCTGTTTGGAGGACTTTGCTCCTCCATCAGCCCGGAGGAGCTGACGCAGCTGCAGAAGGGCACAATGGAGTCTCATCCGCTTGGCACCTCAGCAGGGAAATGTCAGATCTGGCCCCGATCCTGCGAAAGGATCCACCCCACATGACGTCTCAATGACACCCAGACAGTCCTTGAATCAGACTCCGAATAAGGAAATGTTTGAATCCTTCTGTTGGTCAGGCAGCAACAGCTGGGCCTTTGGGTCCAGAGAAAATACCCCTGAAAGCATCTTTAAAGGGTCCTGGCTCTAGCCTGCTACCAATCCCAGTAACAAGGTGTCATAAATGAAGGGGGGGGGGAAGCTCCCTTTGATGGACACCCAGCCAGCCAGCCAGTTAGCTATAAAATCCCTCTTGGTAGCTGTTCTCTACTTGCTTTACCTGTAAAGGGTTAAAAAGTTCCCGAGGTAAAAAAAAGAAAGTGGGCACCTGCTCAAAAAAGCCAATGGAAAGGCTAAAACTTTTTTAAATTGAAAACAAAACTTTCCCTTTGTCTGTGGTTGTTCCCTCTGGGCTGAAGGGACGGGGCAGCAGGAATGCTGTGAACCAGATATGAAAGTCATCAGATCATATCTAGAACTACTTTTAACAACCCAAATATGTAAGTAAATTAGAATGTTTAGAAAGACGCGACTAGGTTTATTTCTGTTTATTTTTTAAGGCTTGTGGACTCCTCTGTGCTAACCCCAGATGCTTTCGTTTGCTTGTAACCTTTAAGCTGAACCCCCAAGAAAGCTAGTTTGGGGGCTTAATTTTGGGGAATTGCTCTTTTAAAATCTAGCAAAAGCCTAAGTTCCAGATGTATTTTCTTCCTTTTTTGTTTTTAATAAAATTGACCTTTTTTAAGACCAGGATTGGATTTTTGTGTCCTAAGAGGTTTGTGGAATGTTGTTTGATTAGCTGGTAGCCACAGCTCATTTCCTTTGTTTTCTTTCTCAGCTCTTCCCCGGAGCGGGAGGTGAAAGGGCTTGAGGGTGCCCACAGGGAGGAATCCCCAAGTGCTCCTTCCTGGGTCCAAGGGGGTTTTTTGCATTTGGGTGGTGGCAGCATTTACCAAGCCAAGGTCAGAGAGACGCTGAAACCTTGGGAGTTTAATACAAGCCTGGAGTGGCCAGTATTAATTTTTAGAATCCTTGTGGGCCCCACTTCCTGCTCTCAGAGTGCTGAAGTGGGGACTCAGCTTGACATGGTGGCAGAGGTGGGATCATTTTGAACCAGAGGCACAGACCTCAGGATTTTAAAAGGACACATTTTTCCTTTTGGCAGCCTGCAAAGTCAGGGAGTTTTTTTTCTTTCTTTTCTTTTCTTTGCTGCCTGTGGGGGAACAGGCACACCAAAGGAGGAGCCTGCAAAGCCACGGAGTCCAACAAGCAGTTTCTTTTTTTCCCCTAGCTTCGTGGCAATAGTTAGGATAGAGTGGGGCAGCCTGTGCATGAGGTTGGGCACCGAAACCTTAGAAAAAAGTCTTCCCAAAGCAGCACACCACGGAGAAGCCAGACCCAGATCAAGCTCAGACATCCAGCTCCATGACAAAAATGCAGGGAGGGGATGGGGGAAGGGGGACTTCCCAGGAGGGAAGGGTCATAGAATCATAGACTATCAGGGTTGGAAGGGACCTCAGGAGGTATCTAGTCCAACCCCCTGCTCAAAGCAGGACCAATCCCCAACTAAATCATCCCAGCCAGGGCTTTGTCAAGCTGGACCTTAAAAACCTCTAAGGAAGGAGATTCCACCACCTCCCTAGGGAACCCATTCCAGTGCTTCACCACCCTCCTAGTGAAAAAGTTTTTCCTAATATGCAACCTAAACCTCCCCCACTGCAACTTGAGACCATTGCTCCTTGTTCTGTCATCTGCCACCACTGAGAACAGCCAAGCTCCATCCTCTTTGGAATCCCCCTTCAGGTAGTTGAAGGCTGCTATCAAATCCCCCCTCACTCTTCTCTTCTGGAGACTAAACAAGCCCAGTTCCCTCAGCCTCTCCTCGTAAGTCATGTGCCCCAGCCCCCTGATCATTTTCGTTGCCCTCCGCTGGACTCTCTCCAATTTGTCCACATCCCTTCTGTAGTGGGGAGCAAAACTGGACGCAATACTCCAGGTGTGGCCTCACCAGTGCCGAATAGAGGCGAATAATCACTTCCCTCGATCTGCTGGCAATTCTCCCACTAATGCAGCCCAATATGCCATTGGCCTTCTTGGCAACGAGGGCACACTGCTAACTCATATCCAGCTTCTCATCCACTGTAATCCCCAGGTCCTTTTCTGCAGAACTGCTGCTTAGCCAGTCGGTCCCCAGCCTGTAGCGGTGCATGGGATTCTTCCGTCCTAAGTGCAGGACTCTGCACTTGTCCTTGTTGAACCTCATCAGATTTTTGGCCCAATCTTCCAATTTATCTAGGTCACTCTGGACCTTATCCCTACCCTCCAGCCTATCTACCTCTCCCCCCAGCTTAGTGTCATCCGCGAACTTGCTGAGGGTGCAGTCCATCCCCACACAGCCCTTCAAGAGGACCCATATAGCATTAAATAGCCAGGCCCAGAGCTCTTATTGTACTGGGGTACTTTATTAATTCGGAACACGGAATGTACCATGACAAGCTGGGGCCAGACACACACCCACTTACTCTGCTGCACGCGCTGGCTGCCTGCACATTCACAGGTGTAGCAGATACAAGATCCGTATCCTCCTGCTCCAAAGCCACGGGCCTTGGTCTTTTAAGGTCAGTTAGAATCCCTGTTAACAGTATAGGGCCTATGACCCACAGCTGGCGCAATTCCGAGTCCATCCAGGAGAGGGCAGCTGCGCACACAAGCACTAGCTAGTTCATTACAACACAGAGGTTGTTTTAGTGAGCTCGAGAGGTGAGCTTTGGGGCAGAAAGAGGCCACCATCCTTCCGCTCTGAGTACTCCTGTCAAGTCAGGAGAGTCTGAGCACAGTGAATTGGTCAGAGCATGAATGGTCCTTGCCTGATACATCAGTGTTGCTAAGGGCACTATCTTCCTGCCCAGAGCCCCTTACTCCTCCCTGACACAGCAGCTGGCATGATGCAGTAACCATATCCTGAAACAGCAATGAGGGTTCCAGAGGGACTATCCACAGGTAATGCACGCCTGCAAATAACACTAGTGGCCACCGGGTGTCACTGTTGCTCTGCAGAAAGGTTGGCAAAGGAGTACTTCTCTGGCAGTCAAAAAATAGAAAAAATGACCCTTAAAGGAGCCGGGCAGCTCGTTCAGTGCCTGATTAGCACCCACGGTCCGCAGCCTCCAGACCCAGCTGGGAAGCAGTCTCCCAAGTCCAAAAGCAGCGTGAACCATAAAATCCCTTTAATTGTATTCCTTTAGGAAAACACTGGGGCTTGAAGCTGCGCCCTCCCTAGTCGGCAGCAGGACGCTCTGGTAGCTGTCGGCATTCACTGGGCCTCGGTTCCTGGAGTCCTTCACCCGCAGGCTGGCGCCCCTGGTAATGAGGTCGGCGTAGCCCTCCTTGTGGGAGAAGGCGTAGCTGGAGCGCCGCTGCAAGGAGCCCCTGCGGAAGTGCGCCTTCAGCTCCACGGTGCTCTCCGCCACCCGCACGTCCCTGGAGCTAATCTTCTGCAGGGGGGCCAAGGAGAGAAACGTCACCACCCCCAAAGGGAGAGAAGGCGGGCTGAGAGAGGCAGGTTGGCCCTGGGGTGAAGGCACCAGTCTGAGAGATCTGGGGTCTGCACCAGCCTCCCTGTCTGGCCTGGGACAAGTTTCTTCAGCTCTCAGGTTCCCAGCTGTCACATGGGCAGAGCTGGTTCCCTGCTGCGCAGGCTGGCCAGCGAGCAGAGCCGGGGGAAGCAGCCTCCCACTAGTGCTGCTCAGCCTATGGGGGGCACCGATTCAGCTGGCTTGGCTGCTAGGCCATCAGGCCTACCCCCAGCTGGGAGGGGAAAGCAGGGGGCAATGTATATTCCTGCTCCCCCGTTCACAATGGGGGTAAACGGGTGATGCTTGGCTATTCCCACCACAATGCAATGAGAAAAGGCCAGGACATTTCAACTCCAATGAACACACAGGATCTTGTTGCCAAGGATGAGAGGGCATCACACTGGCAATACAGAAAACCAAAGGGCCCTTTCATAGATGCCGTAGGACATGTCTAATGAGACAGACTCCAGCCCAGCATCTGGGCTCCAATCATGGTCAGTACCTGGTACTTTGGAGGAGCCTGTATCAATGTATCGTGCCATATGTGCCAGTGGTGGGTTGGATCATTTCTTCCTGACCACCAAGGGGATAATCTAGTGCCCTGAAGCATGAGAGTGGATTGTCCTTATCCCAGCATGTACGGCACTGGCCAACCCCTTTAATAAATCCAGCCACACCCAGGCTAGAGACATACTGACATGCTTGGCAAACAGGTCGGCATGGCAACGGACCCTTCGAGAATAGCTCAGGGCCTGGATTGTGAGGGAGGGGCCTTCAAAGACGCTGGTCTCCCACCCCATCGCCCAGAGCCACACTTACATCCTGAATGGTGCCGGTGCCTGTGATAACGCGGAGCAGGCGGATGGTGAGGGAGGGGATGGTGTTCACCACCACGCACAGCAGGACGATGGACAGGACGTACGGATCAGTCAGGGCGTTCTGGGAGGCATCTGTCAATAGGACGCAGGCCAGGGTGAGTCGCACAGGACATGGGAAAGACCCTAATGACTCTACCTATACCCAGGGCCCAGTCGGCGGGGATAGAAGGTCCAAGACCTCACCCTGAGGCAACTGCAGCGTCCAATGCATCATCCCAGCTCCCACGGCATCAGTACGCCGCTCTCCCAGCACAGCCCACGGGCCCATGCGGCGGCAGGGTTACGCAGGAATAGATCAGTCATGGATTTAGGGCTCTGCCCAAGGCCAATGGGATCATGACTCAGCTCCCCCAAGCTGTACGGGGCCGGAGGGGATCGGTATCTCCGAACACTCACGACACCCCGAGGACGTGGAGGGGTCGGCGTGGCCCCGACTTCCTGCTTCTGACACCACTGAGTAGGGGGGCGAGAGAGGAGGGCTCAGGATAAATGGGGTGGGAGTGGGGAGAGGGAGCGACCCCAGATGCAAGCCCCTCCACCTGGGGTCCCTGGGGGCACCTGACCTGGAAAGCGGAAGATGGTCGGGGCTTCTCTGAAGGCCGGGAAATTTTGGGTGAGGAAGGAGAAGAGGCAGAAGAAGAGAAAGCTGCATGAGACGGTCAGGAAGGTCAGAATGGTCCAGAACTTAATGTCCATGATGATCTGTCCAGGAAGAAGCAGAACCGGCAGCCCGTTAACCCTTTAGACTCTGCAGCCAGCTCTGGGATTGAGTCCAGGAACCGGCAGCCTCCACTCCCCAGAGCTGCTCGCATAGCCTTTCGCCTAGGAGAGTTCTCCCAGGCCTCTGACCCAGCAGGGGGGACTGGCCCCAGCATTCGTCTCAGGCCTAATTCTGGGCCCGTTAACGCTCCTGCTGATGGCCAGGGGAGCAGTTAGGCCACGGCTGAGCATTGAGGAAAGTCCCTGTTGCCAAATGGGCCAGTCCGGTTGGTGGTAGCAGAGATGGGATCTAAAGGTCAATGCAAGGGGGCACCCAAATCCAATCAGCCCTTTGGAAAATCCCCCCCCCCCCCCGTGTCAATTAGACCTACTCTGAAAAAGGGTGAGGGCAGGTCTACCTCGGAGCTGGAGCTGTGATCTGCTGCTCAGGCAGACACGCCTGCGGTAGCCAGTGCACTCAAAATGCTCGGGCAGCTGCATGAGTAGCAGAAGGGGAAAGGCGCCCCGAGGACACGCCTAGCATCTCAGAGGGGTTTGTCCTGGGGCGGTTACCCCTTCCTGCCACCCGAGCAGCCTCAGGGCCACGCTGCACTAACTCAATCAGAGCTCCTGGTGTTGGAAATTACACCTCCAGTGCCAGTGGAAATGTTCCCTAAGAACACAGTGCTCGCCAGAGGGGCTTGTCTGTATAGGGCCCCTGACACTGCTGATGCTAGCGGCGTGCGGCCAGGGCTAGCAATGGCTGGGAAGTGTTTGTGTCACCCGCTGGCAGGGGTGGAACCAACAGGGGAGATCTCCAACACTTCCCCTAATGTAACGCAGGCTCATCTCCTAGGCTGGGAGGCGCAAAGGGGCTTAAAGGGGTTTCGACAGAGCAGTTTCCCACCAGGGAACGCAGTTTCACCAAAATCAAAATGTCCCACGGTCATTTCAATGCCATTTCTGATGGGAAAAGCCTAACGGGATTGTTTCGACTTTCTCGTTTCAGTTCAATAACGCCGAAACGTCTCCCTTTGCCCCGGTCACAACGGTTCAACTTCCTCACTTCAGTTTTACTTTTCGAGTACAGGGAAACCTCAGTTCTAGTGTTACATTTAACAGTAGACGTGTCTATGGACTCGGATGCATTGAGGGTAGAAATGAGAAGGTTTCCAGCCATCAGAGGCAGGTTCTGGAACAGTCTTTTAAGAGGAGCAGGGGGGGCAAACAACCGGAGCTGGCGATGTTTGTGAATGGGGTTTATTTGCTGGGCTTCCTGCAATGACATGGCCTGGAATCAATCCGCAGACGGTCCCTCCCTACGTTCCTATATTTAATACACTAGCGTTGAAACGAACGAGAACCAGTAACATGGGAATGACACGTCTGTACCTTCTCGACCCCAAGCGTTGGACTGTTCCTGGAACGAAACGTTTCGCTGGCCCTGACTAGAAATGTTCTCCGGGTTTTCATTCCGTGGGAAATGGTGGTGTTTTGCTCCGATCCAGAACAAACTGTTTGCCCAGAATTGCGGGTTCCCAACAGCCCTACAAAGCAGTTTCCTCACCCGGTGCCTCACAGCCGCAAAACGGCCTCTTCTTCATCACCCTCCCCAGCCCCTTCCCCAACTCACGCCAGCCCCCCGCGATGGCTAATGCCAAGCCAAGCCAACCTCCCTTCCAATGGCAGCACCTCCCCCCACGTGGCCATTGGCTGTTTCCAGGGAACCCTTCCAGCCACTGCTAAATTGTCCTCGAGGGTACCCCCCACAGCTCCTTGCTCTGAGATGGGGCAGGGGTACCCGAGGCTCACCTCAACAATGACAGACAGGAAGGCCGAGGTGGCCACTGTTACAGCGAAGGACTGGTAATCGCCAACAACCCTGCTGCCGACCCTGTCTTCGAAGGCCCACAGAGCAATGTAGAAGCTCCCCAAGGAGGTGACGGTGCCGTGGAGGAGGGTCACGCAGAAGACCCGGTAGTTGAAGAGCTCGTCTCTCTGGCCCACTTTGTAGAGCTCGGGGAGTTGCAAGCTCTTCTCCGCGCTCACGTCCTGCCGCGCAGCCAGAAGAAAGGGAGATGGGGGTCTCTGACACGCAGATGCCACCCACGTTAATGAGGCCACCCACCCAGCCATGTTACATGCACGCGTGATGAGCCTGGAGTGAGGAGGAGTCCACCCACATGAGCATGGTGGAGGGGTGGAAGAGATATTAGGGAGGGGCCAGTGGGGGAGCCAGCCATCCACCCACATGTGCTGGGCGGGGGGCATGAGATTTTGGGGTGCTGCAGTGCTAGGGACACGTGCAATCTCTGTGTGTGGCCTTCACACGCAGCTAGGAGCTCAAAATGCCCAGGTCTAGATCCTAGACCACACAAGATGGAGGAGAAGCTGGCTGAGGGGCACAGGGGAGATGGAGCGCAGCCCCCGCTCACAAACGGGGTGCTGTGAGCCCTTGCTACCATTTCCTAGTGGGGAGCAGTTCAGAGGCACGGAAGTACCAGGCACAATCTGATCAAGGACACTTAAAAGGGACACGGCCAGGCCTGAAGGTAGACAGGGTCCTGCCTCAGCACGGGGGGACCGGACTCGATGACCTCTCAAGGTCCCTTCCACCCCGACCCTTCTGGGGTTTTAAGTCCCATGGAGCATCTTGGAGGAAAGAAAGATGGAGAGACTGAGCCAGAGATGCTGCAAGGGGCTGACCTCTCCTTGGAGGGTTCATAACCAGGTTGATTGTGTTCTCCTCAAAAGTGACCCACAAAGGGAAAGATCTGGGTTTGTGCCCTGCTTTGCTTCTCTAAGCTTGCCAGTCAGGAGGCTTGAAAGGTGCTTTTCAAAACAAGGTGGGGAGTTTCTGCCTGGCTTTTTACTTTAGGAAATTTCTGCTTTTGCTGGCAGTCTCATAGGAAGACCCAGAAATGGGGATGGGGAGTTTTCTTGGCCCTTAACTGAAGGAGCAGGAGGTGCTGAATCTTTACCATGGAGCACTTTCATCCCAACAGCTTGTTAGGTGTTTGAGTTAAAGAAAGTATCAACCAAAAGCAAAGTGTGTTAACCCATCCAGGTGCGATTTTCAGACTCCCACTGACGTCAATGAGAGTGGATTTAGGAAGGCACTGAGGGCTTTTGGAAATCTCGCCTTCTGACCACAATTCCCTTCCCTAATCAACTGGGGTTAGTTTCCTCGGCTCTTGTCCTGTCATGCCTTGCTAGATTCCCATGCAGCTACAGAGCATCTCAGGAAAAACAGGGGAGGCAACACCTGACATCAGAATATAGGGCTGGAATAATCTTTTGTGGGCCCCGGTGCCTGGCCTGTGGCCCCTCGCTCCCTCTCCGCCTGCGCTCTGCTTGGAGGCCCCCTCCCTGCTTGGCCTTTTCCCCCGAGGCCCTGCCTGCCGCTTGCAAAGGGAGCAGGGGAGAGAGGAGTGAGGGGCGGGCAGGGCCTCAGGGGGAAGAGGCCTAGCAAGGGCGGGGCCTTGTGCAGAACATGGGCGGGGCCTTGGGGGAAAGAGGCCAAACAGGGACGGAGTCACGGGGCGGAGCAGGGGGGTGGTGCCACGGTCTGGGTGCCGGGGCCCCTTCTGCATGTAGGCCTGGCCCCATTGTAAACCAGGTACTGTCCGAACGTAAAAACAAGCAGGAAAAAAAATTAGGGACAAAAAAATCAACAAAAAAATGTCAGTCTTTGTTTGTAAGCCAGCAAAGGGCACTAAGCCAGTATCAGCCATATCCTTTGCAGGTCACCCTTAGCAGGGACGAATCCATCCGTGGTGGAAAGCTGTGTATACGTTTAAAACAAGAGTAACATTGCCACCAGTGTTTGCTATGTAAACCAGAGACAGCGAGGGTCACCCCTGCACCTTTCTGTGAAATACACACTGGGGAACGACCGCCGATTCCCAGGAAAGGAGGGATTATGGGAGCTGGATCCCATGATTTCCCTGGTGTCCCCGGGATATCCTAGGATGCCAATCCCAGAGTGCACTGCTGCTGGGAGCTGAGCTGGGCTCTCTGGGATACACATGCAGAGGCCGTTGTGGCTGGGTAGGCAGGGCAGAGTGCTAGCAGGCATAATGTGCAAGGCTGTTAGGGTATTTCATGTGATTGAACACAGTCAAGTGTGTAGGGTTACCATACGTCCGGATTTTCCCGGACATGTCCGGC